TCCGACAGCCCAGCAGCTAATTACCACCGCGTACCTACAGCCACCGCAGCCTCGGCACACCGCCGCTCGCACCTCCCGGCCCCGATCAGAGCCGGCCAGAAGCACGGGCCACGCAGGGAGCGCTCCACCGCCGCTGGTTCTTGCCCTGCCGGAGGGGAGGCTTTATACCGACCGTGGTCAGGTCCTAGGTCGTTTTATGGCACACGGAGAGCAAGCAACTAATAATAGTAATGTGACAGTTAGCTGAAGGAGCGGAGAGGAATCTAGCGGGTGCCAGACCTGTGAGACAGAGCACGCGTTCAGTTTAAAGCAGCGCCTTTCTCTGGAAACTTTACAAAGCAGAGGCAGAAACGTGATTTTTATTACATCTGAACACATTCTTTTTCCTGCTTAAAGATGACTTGTTTCCTACGTGTTCAATTGCAAGGTCTTCAGTGCAGAACTTTCTTCTTCCTATCTCAGTTGTATTATGTCTGTGACACTGGAGCCTAACTTTCAGCTGGATTGTAAGTATTAGGACGAGAACCACATGACCTTAGGCTTTGCAAATCTGAACTACGGCCATCAAAGTTAAAACACAAAATGTGTTTGTCTTTCGAAGGACAGCGCAGGAACTTTCCCCCAGTGCCACCCTCAAAATAGCTGTACTCGTATTTCTGATGCAAAGGCACAAGATTTCAGTTAATGTAGGGCTTTTGACTCTCCGTAAAGTAACAGTTTTCAGCAGATGAACACATATAACAAATTTGGGCAGATCAAAGCATATATACATTGCCCTTCTACAGCAGTAAGGATTAAACACTTTATGTTCTCCATTTCATTATTTATATTACCCCACAAAGGAAGTCTTACTCCACATCTGGAGCTCACTATAGCAGTTTGGTTTGGAAATAATCCTGAGAAGATTCGTCTCCTAAAACCAAGAGGAGAGACAACAGCTTGGCATAGAGAGATGAATGCAATTAAACCACTCTGGTTAGTAGGATAGACAGGGATCTCACCCGCTGACCAACCACTGCCTGTGTCACACCGCTTGAATCTACTTTGCCTGCATCATGTCTGCAAGCCACGATAGCCATCCTTAGGCTGACGGTTTCTTCGCTTATTAAGGTGTCTGGCTGAATCAGTTTTTGAATTCCAAGACTAGAACCACCAATATTTGGATTTTTGGTGCATCACTGGCCTATGTGTTGAAAATTTATCAATGCTGTGGACCATTTAATAGAAGCAAAATTAAGCAGGTCGACAAAATCAGTTTAAACTGGACAGCGCAAAAGCTGTTCCCATTCCATTTCGTTTTCATGCATATAATAAATTTTGTAATAGTTGTTTTCTGTTCGATTTCAGGGAGCAAATTAAAGTTTTAGATACAGTTATATGAGCAACAGTCGTTTCACTGAATTATTTTATTTAATATACACAACTGCAGTTCATTTAGGCAATAGAAAGTTCACAAATACACTTACTCTGACACTTGATTTGACACATTTAGTTTGATAGAAACCAAAGACTACAAAAGTGAAGTATAATAATCATTAAGAACACATTAAAAGTGAGATTATTATTACAACTAAATTACAAATGATATAAATATTTGATTCTTGTATAATCCCTACACATTCAATATTTCTGATCTTAGGAGTACAGTTAGGGCAGAGGAGGGTAGCTTTTAAATTTAGCTTGTTCTTATTAGCACGGAAAGTGGCATTCAAAACTATTTAAAAATTTAGAGATTATAAACTAAATTCTGATTCTGATTATGAATTCACTGAAGTAGAATTGCATCATACTATCATTCCTTTGTGCAGCTCTGGCACTTGTGTTTTCAAAGATGGTGGGCTTTTCAAATTCTTAAGCCATATGGCTGGTTATCAACAGATATTCATTATACACCTTCTAGCTAAGGTGTATAAACCTTAGGTTATAACAGAACTGATTCCAGTTCTGTGTTACAGGGAGATAGCGCTCTCTCATTTAATAGCTGTCTCTGGAGTTAAGAAGGACAGAATATATGAATGCTTTTTGGGAAAAGGTCTAAAAAGACCCAGAGGAGATCAAAAGCCTACCCATTTGTACCTGCACATTTCCCTCTTAGAATCATAGAATCATAGAATCATAGAATCATTAAGGTTGGAAAAGACCTCTAAGATCATCAAGTCCAACCGTTAACCCAACACCACCATGCCCACTAAACCATGTCCCTAAGCGCCTCATCTACACGTCTTTTAAATACTTCCAGGGATGGTGACTCTCCCTTCCCCTCTCTCTCTATTTCTTTTTTCCTTTCTTAACTGTTTCTGAATCAAATATTTGTTGGTGGTATCTTACAGCAATCAGACACTGTAATTCTTATTTTGGATGGAAAATGCATCCGTCCAATTTCCAACCTGATTCTATGGACTTTTGAGAACCCTATGAGTGCATTGAAGTGCTCCTGATTTAAAGGGATACATTTGTTTAAGCCAGATATTATCAGGTCCTTAACTCATTTTCTGAATATTTTGGTGTTTCATTAGAACTTTTTCATTCTTCTGTTGAAAAAAATCTTTTCCGTTTCGACAGAAGATCAACTTTTAAATTATCGGGAAACATTTATAATCTCACATGCAATGCTGTTGCCCTTTCTTCAAGAGCTTTTTATAACTAATATGAAAATTGCTCACTTACACATACATTTACGTCTGTGAAAAAGTGCATTTCTGTTTTTCTGTGATGAATGTTAAGATGTCATTTTCTTCGTATCATTTTATTAGACCAGACAAACCACAGCAGACAGCTTCTTTGACACGTTGCAACCTCCAGGTAGTATATTTGCTGTGGAACATGCCATTTACTCTGTTACTTCTATTTCCAGCTATTCCTATTGATTCTGAACCCAACGAGACACCTTACTGTTCCATATAATTTCATTCATAGACTTGCAGAGAGCTGCCAAAATACAGACACTTTTGAGCAGTACGATCAGGGGAGATAAGTATGTTTAAGCTAAGTGAGAGGGTGAAAAAAACTTCACATTCTGGTATTGAAGACATACTTTGCAGAGAAAAAAGTATAGCATGGAGCACGGTGCCAAGTTCAGCAACATGAATGGTGGAAATAGGCCAACAGCAGCATTTGGAATTTCTGTTTTATTACACATAGAAGTATACTTTTTTTAAAATAAACTATAATCAGTTGGCATTTCACACAAGTCATATGACACATTTTCATCATTTTTATATTTATCAAATAAGTACAACAAAGGAGCAGAATGTCAGCTTCAGTAAAATCTATGGAATTACACAGGCCCTCCTTTTCAAACATCATCGTTTTGGATTGTGTTTGCAACGAAAGTTGAAATGTTTCTAATCAACGTTTGTTGCAATATGCTAGATTTTAACAACATGCTTCTCAAGTATCTGAATATTTAGAATTACTCTGTAATTACTTACTCTGTATTACTTGACACAGGATAGATTCTTGTGGGCTGCCTTTGTGTGACAAAGCATATGTAAGTGTAGTTTAAAAGCCTAAGCTAACTATGAAACATTGTTTCAGTTTACAGAAATTCAAAGATTATAGATTATTGATTACCTCTAGCACTGGAAAAAACATTACTGCAAGTTCCCTCATGCCTCCTTACTGTGCTGTGCTCCTATCTAAAGTTCAGGGTTCCATATCCTGAGCCACAGTTTTGCATTGCACATAGATGGCCACAATTGCTTAGATTTCCTCTTAAATAGACACCTGACTTCCTACAAGGAAGGGAGGAAGACGGAAATGATTTTAATTATAAAACACTGCCTTCGATTCTGTTTCATGACTAACAAATCTCATCATACATCCTTATTTAAAAATATATTTTGAAATGCTACATATGAACTGAGAATGGTATTACTTTATTTACCACCACCTTATAAAGTAGCAACAGTTTTAGAAAAAGGAAAAGCTTTAAATTAATTGGTGAAGCTAGCATAGCTTTTTGAATATAAGTAAGTGCTCTCAAACACCTTCATGGTGTTTAGATATTGTAAAACAAAATAAAGTAAAAAATGCATACTGGAAGTCATTCCTGCCCAAATGGTGCCTGCATTTCCTGCATCACTATTACACTGTAGTACAAAATGACTGCTTACACTCACACAAATGTAATTTCAGGGCAGTGGCAACATGATCAATTTTGTGAGTGTGATTACTTTATTGTATGTGTCACATGAATCAGAGACTGCATATACCCCAGTCGAAACACCTTCTAGATCTAGACACATAATGATTTGGAGACTCTGTAATGAACATTTTGTACTATAAGCCTTGAAAGGAAGCAACTCCATCAGCTTCACTTACAAATTATCTGTGCAAAAGTACAGTATTTCATAAATAAACTTTACCGAAATATTACACAAAAAAGCTTTGGGATACATTAAGTATAAATACAGTGACAGCTGAGCTGCAAATTTAATTTAGGTATATACAATAATATGCTCACCAGTTCTTTTCGCAGATGTACATTTAACCTCCCTGAGTCCTTTTCCATACTTAGCGACATGATTTTCAGATGCTTGCTCACTAACAGCAATGATAGCTTCGGCGTTAGAAAGAAAGGCGGGAGGGAGTACGTCAAAGTGCACTCCATTTCATTTGTCACGGATTTTAAGCTTACTGTACTTTTGCTTCTAAAAGCCCACTGGTCATGACATGCCCATGACCACTTACACAAGCACTGACATGTCTTAGTGAATCTGCTCCAAGATAGGCCATTAAAAGTTCAGTGTGTCGAATTAATAATTGCATAAGATCTTCAGCCAAACTCTCCATAGTTGAGTATCTCACCTTTTCAAAATCAAAAATGTCTTTGAGGAAGAAAAGCACTTGATCCTAGTGGGGAAAAAGAGGAAAAACTTGTATTCACTTACAAGAAGAAAAAAAGTATGCAATGCTAGCGATTTCTTTTACATGTTTTCTAAAAGCATCCATTTATGTATTCTTTTGGTGCTAAGATAGAAGTGCACTAAAACAGACTTTGCAAAATAGTTCTAGGCTTAAAAAACAATTTTAATATTAAAATAGTTATTTTCATGGTTTCTTACTGCTAGTCTTAATCTTAGGAAAATGCAAACGTATGCTTATAAATAAGATCCTCATTTCTTTTAATCTTTAAATCTTTCTACGTTTTTTTTTTTTAAATTAAGATAAGTGGTAGTTAAAAAAAAGTTGCAAACCTTGAAGAAGCAGCATAGGTCATAAAGGGAATTTCTAGGGCCCAAAAAGCCCCACGCCAAAACAGGGCTGATATGTTCACATACAGCATAGAAATGTGCAAAAAATCCATCAGGCACCTAGTGATGTAAAATTTTTAGACAAAAGTTACACAGTAAATGTAGTATAAACCTCTATTATATAAAATTAATTCTTCAGGAAAGCCTAAAACACCTACTACTTCAGGGCTGTGGTAACTTGAACTCCTTTAAGTTATAGGGCATCTGAACCAAACAAGTGATTTTTTTAGAAAAGGTTTTTATTTCAGTGGTACTTTGTATTTTAAATATTTTAAGATTAATAGGCATAAGCCCAATCTGATGATGAACATGATGATGAACAATCTACTCTGACTCCCATATGACAGATCAGATAATTTTATTCAGTTATTCCTGTTTGAGCCCCTATACACTACGTATAGCTGAAGCTTGCAAAAAAGTAAGCGAACTGCACATTTTTGAATGGAAAAAAATTACATCTTACAAGAACCCATCTTTAAGTCTAAAGAAAAGCATAAAATATCTGTGAATGACCATCCTGCTGTTACTTTTACAACCTACAGGCACTCATAAAATATAATATACTATAAATTTATATATCATATATGGATGTACAGTTTATTTTATATACTCATAAACATATATTTATAATTTTACAAAATCAGTTAATTTATAAAATAATAAAAATAGAAATTAACCATAAATTAAAACATAAAATACCACACAAAGAACTGTCCGTAAGTAAATTTAAGTTCATCAAGCTCCTTGTGGTACAGTTAGTCTCTCCCTTACAAAGACTTCCATGGTGCTTAACTTTATCTACTTCTGAATGACGCCAGCAGCACTGATGAAAATAATCCCAAGGAGTAAAGTTACTCACACATTTACAAACTTATAAATATTGAGACTTCAATATACAAAGGAACTAGAGGGTAAGGTAGTTGTGCATTGAAATAGACATGAAAATAATAGGTTACTATAACATGTATTTTGGAGATATAATCCCTTTATATAAAACTAGCGTAGAAAAGATCTATTTATATAAAATTCCCAAACATATTGCCACAGGGATGTAACATCTCAAATCTTAAGACATAATAGTAGCTGAGGACCTTTTACAAAATACTAACTGCCATTGGAAGCAACTTTTTTTACGATGAAATATGTCTTTGGTAGTTAGGAGTCGCATACATAGCTATTCTTAGAATCAGAGAGAAGTGTCAGTGCCAATCACTTCAGCAGAGATTCCTCACCTGCGGTATGGATGTCCTGCAGCAAGCCTCAACTCTGCTTTTAGACTGGCTACTACAGAGATGGGACATTTGCCTCCTACGTCTAATAAAAGCCTCCAAAGGTGGAAGTAAGCAGCTGCTGGCGGAGAGGAGTTCTACTTCGAAATCTGCAGAGTTCCTTCACTGAGAGGTCAGGATGCAGAAGAGGGCTGAAGGACGCTGCAATAGAGTTCCTGCTGCTGGCAAGGAAGATGGTACTTCAGGTAGGTAAAGGGACAGGACTGAATTTTATTTAGCTGTGGAGATGATGCAGGGAGATGGGGTTGAGAATCCTAGCATAAGCAGGCGAGATGCAAGATTAATGACCTTGGTCTGCAAAAATCCAAGGTACATGTGTGGGGCCATAAGTCAGAGAAATTACTGTCACCACTGTTGACTGAACCTAAACTAGGTTGAAAATCTTTCAGCTAAGACTTTTTGCTAAAAAACTGGTATTAGGGCCCCATAAGCTAAACTTATACAATTGGCAGCCTCTTGTCTAAACTAACATGTGAACAGGATTAGGGGTTGATATGTAATTTATTTTGCCAAAGCTACAGGACAGAACTTCAAATTCTTAGGAGCCGATCAGTAACTTTGGTCCACATAATTTGCAAGGGAACTTACCTTCATTTGCTGCCTTTTCTGCTTCAGTACTGACCAACAGCTTGAAGCCACAGCCTAAATTTAAAAAAAAAAAAGCTCAAAACCCTGCGTAACTTCATTACAAGAGAAATTATCGTTCATCTCAAGCGATCTGCAGAATACTGTATTTCTATATTTTGGGGATTTGTATTTTCTTCAGTTTCAATCTTGTGATAACACAAAGTTTAAAACTATAAAGTATCAGCTGATACAAATAACTGATTTTATATGTAGTTCATATTTGTTATTTTCAGATCTTATTTTGCAACTTTTTCTTTAGTTTAATTCAAATGTAATTTGGCATCCTTGACTGATTTTACAGTTGGAACAGTTAGCAACATTCACTGGGTTTAACTGAGGACCAGTCTCTCATATACCAAAATATGTGCTCAGACAGAATAACTATTTTAGATATTAAGTAGTATGTGAACACATTGAAATGTCCTTTTTCATCTTAGCAAAAACATTCTTGCAATAGCTTCAGATTCAGCTAAGGAGTTTTGTCCAAATATGGACCTGTGAAATACAATATACCGATATCAGCACTAGGCTTTCTCCCCTCATAGCTTCTAACTATCCTCATCTAATTCTCCTTCAGTACTGCAAGATAATTTACTACTTAGAAAACACAATGTTATCACATAACTATAAAAATAAATATATGCATGTCACCTTTTATTTTTTCCTCTAGAGGTAGTATTTCAATTGAAAGACAAAAATAAAAGGAAAACTAGCCGTTTATAGATATAAATGGATGAAATGACAGTAGTATCTCTACCAGCTGACCATGGCAGTAGCCTGTGTGTCTGTAACAGAGGGATGAGATCTATTTGACAAATAAACAGGCACATCTGCGTGAAAAAGCGTGAAATGTTATCAACATTTGAATGCCTGTATTGTATTAATTTACTTTTGTTTGCTTGCAACTTTGTGTCTTATTGCTAAATCTCTGGTATATGAACCAAAACCTGTATCTAATTATCTAAGATGTGGCTAACAGAAACTTCCCTTCTAAAATTCTACTTCCTCAGAGAAAACTCATTTTTGCAGAACAAGTTAAAGTGTTTTCTCCAATACATTCAATCCTTCTATATATTTTGGGCCCAGACTTGTAGCTTTTAAATTGCTATTATGAAAAACCTGATAATACAATCTGTTTATTTTTTCTGAGGAATATTTCAGGAATATTCAGTTATATTGGAAGCTGAATTAGACTTTACAGTGAAGGATGGTGTAGGTTTTTTGCTTCAAAATTAATGCTATTATCAAGACAATATGCACAGTCTTTATCCTGCAGTTGTTGGATTTATTCTCGTTTTTACATTGTGCTTTAAGAATATAAAGTATAGATCGCCAGAAGAACAATTTCAGCGTATACAGAAATTTTAAATCAGAATGCTCACACCAATGTTATATTGATCATACTATCTACTTATTGTAACGTATATTACAGAATAATGATTATGAAAATTACACATAAATACTTACTGTTTCTTTAAAAGAGGAATTTAGCCAGCGGTTATTTACTACATTCTGTATAGATATTGGTGGATTTTCTAAATCTTCAAATGAATCCATTAATATGAAGTCCAGAACAACATCATAAAAATTCAGGTTTTTCACCTGTATTAAATCAGAACATGATCTAAGTAACCTTTTCAGCAGTGGAATTCAGCATGCACCATATTCTAACTCTGTATTAACATGCAGATTTATAATTGGTTTTAATGAATAATAAAGATACTTTGTCAGTAAAGGAGAAGTTAAAAAAACTATTACGTGCTTTCTAGTACTAAACTGCAGTGGTGGATGCCATTTCTCTAAATCAGCAATGTAAACAAAAAAGAGTTGCCTTTCCCACAATTCTGAACTGTAAAAAAGTATTTTTAGATGCTACAGTTTGCATAATTAAGGGTAAAAGTACTTTTCAGAAATTCAGACTCACTCCTCTAGCAGCAAGTTCCATTTCAGTATTATCCCAGTGATCTGTTTGTTCCAAAAAATATATCATTTCATCAAAGACATCTTCAAATTTCTTTGGATTCTGTAAAGTAAAAGCAATGAGTATCAAGCAAACTTAACAACAAGAGAGATGGTTTATTTACACTGGAAAGTGAATTCTGGTAGAAGTTACATTAACAATAAAACATTAGTTAAAAAACGCTTTTACCTTTCGTGCTCTCACAATTAAAGCAGACAAAATTTTTCTTCCACTTTCGGCAAGAAATATTCTGTTTGCTGTTTCTGAAAGAATTACCTAGAAAAGGTTTCAGAAAATATAGACATATTCATTCACAGGTTATACTAAGTGACCTTAAACACTTCAATCAAATTTAATATAATTATAACCACTAGTATAGTAGGCAAGTTCCTAATAAGCCTTTGGTGCAAAGGTTCCAAAGCTAATTTTGTAATTAACTCCTCTGCAAATACGTCCCATTTTAGAATTATAGAAATGTAAAAGCAGCCAGAAAATATTTAATTACAGAATATGTTATAAAAATGCTTGCACAGGTAGTGCATTGATAGTTTCAATGCCATGTACTTTAGGCTTCACAAGACAGACAGACAAATCAGTCTCCTTACTATTTACCTGAAAAGCTTGTCGAATACAGTGAAGCTTAGCAAGGAAGTCACTGTCTCCTAGACATTCAAACATTTCAGTCCTATATAAAATAGAAAAGTTTTCAAAGACCATGAAAAAAAGAAGCATGAGAAAACTCAACTAAGTCTAATTCCTAGAAAAAATACTTAGTACAAGTAACTTCTAAAAAACGAGTTCTATATAGAATATTTAACTTCAATTCTTGCCTTTCTTGCAAATAATTAAATAGACATAAATCAATACCTTAACACTCGTGAATAAATTTTGCCTTCTTCTGCTAAGTGCATAGCTTCTTCATACAATGGGCAATGGCAAAGGGAATCTAGACCATACGTATTACGAATCTCTCTGTGCTCTGTAAGCTGAAAAAAAAATTTTGAAAGAGCTTGCTAACATCATTTTTGTAAAGATAAAACAAATTAGTTTTCCTGATATTCTACTGAAAGATGTATCCTTTTCTGCATCTGCTTAAAACAAAGGGGCAACGCTCAACTAGTGAACAGAAGAGAAACACCACACTATTAACAAGACTGTTACTTCGTAACTTTTAAAATCTGAAAGCTACATTTTCAGGTTTCAAGTTTCAAAAGTTTAATTAATAAATGGAGGCAGCTTAGTTTTGTTTTTTATTTGCCTACTTAAATCTAATGGGTGTCAAAGCTGTTAAAAAAAATTGTCAGGGCACAAAGCACAGAATGATTGCATCATGCAAATCTTTAGGAAGCTGGAAATAGTAACATCCTCCCACCCCTGTTTTTGTTTCACTGGTAAATATGTCTGCTAGTTACCAAAGCATATTGTACGAAGCATGAGCATCCAGCATTTTACTACAGGCTCCCAAAAAGGTTTTCATTATTGGCAGTTTTAATTCTGTGGTTATCATATAAATTAACGTGAACTTCATAGACATTTTTAGAGCAAGAAAAAACAAACACAGATTAGGAAATCAAAGCACATAAATAATACAGAGAACTCCTGTTTACAGGATATCATATTTAATCCACAAAACAATTGTGCTAGCTACAATTTCCACTACAAACATTACATCATATTATTAATGATCTACAAAAAAATCAGAGGCTTACACATCCTTCAATTTAGTTAATGACCAGAAAATGAATTCTAACTTGGTTTTTTTAATCCAATTTTTTTTTTTTTAACATCCTGCATGGGGAAACAAACCTGTGCTTCTAGGCTATAAAAACAGAGCCTAGAAACATCTTTAAAAAATAATTCTCACAGTAATTGAACTATATAAAAATAGTTACCCTACATCTTAGAAAGATTAAAAAAATCAGATTAAAATATAACTTTATGTTAAACTTCCATTAAAATTTTCAAATAAATATATGCTGAAAAGTTTTTCCTATCACTGAGGACATACAGGCAAGTGCTGGCATGAGACTTCATAAAGACATTAAGAAGTATGCTTCCAGTGTGTCTTCTCCACAGACTTTAGTTGAGCCAATTACAGCAACAACAGTTTGGCCAAGTAGGCTTGCCTGCTAAAGGGAAGAATATAAGCACGTGCCAATACCTATTTTTGTCCACGTAAACATTTAAGCACATGAATAAGTTACAGAGATTTCAGTACAGAGTTGGTGTTCTGACAAGCGTCGCACATTGTTAGATGGTATATATTTGCTGGAACTTACACTGATGTTTTGAATCACTTATACCAGTATCCTTTTACTGTAAGCAAATACATACAATTCCTTTCACAAAATTGTCAGGTTCCATTTTAAATTTATTTGTTTGGGTAAAAAAAATAAAATCTGTATTCCTATACAGACTTCTATAGAGTTCTCGAATTGAGACTCAAGTGACGAGACGATAGCAAGGGAATAATTGAAGGAATAAACGTTTTAAGGTCAACAAAATGTTATATTTAAATGAGTAATGTACACTTTCAGAATTCATCTAGCTTGAAAGTATTTCCATTTTAAAAGTACGTATTTGTTTATCAGTCATTTTGCTTGGAAAAACAGAGTAGAATAAGCTGACTTCCTAAAAAAGATTTACAGCTATTACAACAAAAGATTTTATTCCAATTTAACAATATTAATCATAGCACCAAATTGTGTTTCGGACTCACTAATTCAAAAAGCCCACCTGAAAATTTATGTTCTTATTAAACAAAGGAAGCCACACAGCTTTTAATTGAAAATATATGTGAAAATATATAGGAAGGAATAATTTAACCAACTGGAAGAAACAGGAATATATTGATTTCTTTCAGATACAAGAAATCAATATACATACCCCCCCCCATATATATACACATGTATATATAGTGTAATAGTTAGAACAGGTATCAACAAGAACAAGTGAAAAATCTTTACTCCAGAATTTGTTTTTCTACATTATGGTTAAGAAAGTATTAACTGTGGAACAATACACACATATTTCCCAAAATAAAGACCAAAACAGAACACAAATAAGTATACTAATTTATTTCTTACCTGATCCAGCTATTATGAAGCCATAAAACATTCCATTTACTTTATTTCATTTGCAAAGCATGAGAAGAAATAGGTTGTGAACACATACGCACTTTGTAAACAGCTGCCCCTCTCTTGGAGGTTATCATTTCTGTGATAAAAGGGATTATATTAGTTTTCTCTAGTGAAATTCAGGCATATCACCTTCTTCAGATATTTAGGCAAACCGACTGACTGTGACTGAATTAGGACTCGTGATTTCTACAGTTAGATGCAGGTAATCTCTATCTGCTGCCAGCAAGCCTGAGATGATAACATCTCTGGCACATGAAGATGACTGATCATAGCCTTTGAGGTCACAGATTAGCATAGAATCTGATACCTGGGAGTTGGGTGAGGCCCTTGATTATATTTAGCTTTTTTTTTTTTTTAAGACTTCCTCTCATGCTAGCAGATGAAATAAAATAGCTGTGTTACTGTCGTAATGCATATTATTGAACTCAAACGAAGAAAGCAGTTAAATCAACCAGATACTAAGCAGGAGAGAAGGGTGTAACTATTCTTCCACTGAGAAGATGGTTTTGATTACAAACTGAAGTTAGTCCCAACCAATAACATTTGGAAAGGGGGTGCAAATTCCTCTATCACTGCTTCTCTTAGCATGCAAAAAGAGAAGAGGAGAAAAAACAAAACAGACTGAAACCCAGAAACTAAAACAACCTCTAAGTTTAACTAGAAAAGGTGATTTCTAGACAAGCTCTAAAGCTGCATCTTAATGCTCCTAGAGTCATCATGGATTTTCTTTTAATGCTTTCTAGT